CAAAGCTAATTCATTATAATCTTTCAGATTATCCGAGCTATAACTAAAAATCCTAATGACAAAACGATAGTTAGTTTAATTTTTGCAAATCAAACGGAGAAAGATATTTTATTAAAGGAGGATTTAGATGACCTTGCAGCAAAACACGATAATTTTACAGTATTTTATACTTTGGATAGAGTAAATACGATATTTTCTTTTACACAAAAAATTATTTTCAAAAAATTATTAATCTTTCTTTAATTTTTAATAGCCACAGCCAGGTTGGACTGGAGGATCCGGATTTGTCACTCCCGAAATCATAAAAAAGTTTTGCCCACCTCCAGCTGATGATGTAAAAATTTTGTTATGTGGTCCAACTCCCATGGTATCAGCCATGGCAAAACATTGCGAATCATTAGGTTACAAAAAAGCTAGAACTATCTCTAAATTGGAGGTAAATAATTTTGATTTGATGTGTGCATTAGTCTTGAAGATTTATATTTATTTGCTTTTTTTCTTTTACAGGACCAAGTCTTTAAATTCTAAGTTAATTATATTTATATATATATATATATATTATTTTATAAGTTAAACCGAAAGATCAATCTAAACACTCTGTATAATTTAATGATTGAACGCTTGCTAATTTATGAGTTATTTCAGTTGATCTTTAGAAAGGAATTGAATTTGCAATGTATGGAAAGTATTAAAAGAAAAACGGAAAACTTTACAATAAAGAAAATGCCAAGATTGTATGTATAAATTATACAATAGGACCGGCAGGAGCCATTTGAGCATAAACCATTTCGCTAGATTCTTCAATAATTTCTTTACCATCGACAGTTTTCGTTGTTTTAGTTCTACGTTCGCTACGTCCGATACCTGTACCATATTTTTCTCTAGGTCCAAGCGGTATGGCATTTCTTCTACCAGAAATCAAGGGGGGCATGTTTCTAACACCAAACCATCCCATTCTAAAAGCAAGTTCATTTGCACAAATTTCACCAAATCCTAACATGACCCCGTTTATAAACGGAAATACAAAATTCATTGTGAACGTTTGTAAAAATGAGATAAATTTCGGATGTCGATAAAATGGTACAACGGATTGTGAATCTCCCGAATGATTGAAATGATTATTATTGTTTATATTATCATCTCCAGTTTGAGAATTTCTTCTTGAATCTCTTTGT